TCATAAATACATGTACACAAACACCAAGGGCATGTGCTGTTAGGGCACCATCTCTCACCAGTATTAATGAGGCTTGGTTATTTGGCATTTATATGTATATGAATTACAACACATTATTCCAATGAGAATTACCTAAATTATGTTGTTAAGGCAGCCTTCTGGCTATCTTCTCCAATGTGTTTCTTTGTGAAACTCAGTCAAATTAGTCAATCACACGCCATTAAATGTTGTATATGAAATCAAACTTAGATCTTATTATCAAAGATACATTCATGATAACTGGCGAGTGCTAAAATACAGAATACCTCTCACTAGCCTAGTGAAGTACACTAGGTATCCTAAAGGCCGAAACAGTACCGTCTGTATATATATATATATATATATATATATATATATATATATATATATATATATATATATATATATATATATATATATATATATATATAGGAATCATCAGGTGGTGAATAATTTCGAAATTGTAGGTTGCTTTTATGCTATCGAAAGAATGTGCGGAATGCGTGTAGGCGAAACAATGCTTAGGTGAAACAATGCATGCTTGGGTCATTAGGTTTTGTTAACGATCTTGTTTACTCGAAACCGGTTTTTGTGACGACATTTGCCGAAAATTTCGCTTCTTTTATTGAGTAAATTGTCTTTGTTTATGTCTTTCAAAATGCAAAATTTTTTTTCCAAACATAAATTGCAGCGTTTTGATCCCCCTGTGTACGAAATAGCGTGTTTTAAAATTGACCATTTGATGGTATAATCGTGATTGTTTTCTTTTAATTTCCAAATATGTTTCGAAAGTTCCGTTTTGTTTGAGTCTTTTTTATGACGAAAAGATGAAGTGTGGTTAGCGTAACGTTCCTTAAATGTAGTCGCTGTCATACCAATGTAGTGTTGAGTGTCGTTCGTGTTGTTCGTTGTGACTGTTGCTTTGTAAATAATGTTGTTGGTCATGCATTGTTTCGGTAGTGGGCAAGTGTTTTTGTTGTCGCAGTTACAGTTGTCAGTTTCCGTATTCTGTGATTGACTGTTCCTAATTATATTTGCGTTGTGTTTGGTGATTATAGACTTAACGTTGTTCATGCAACTGTAGCTTACTTTTAAAGTGTTTCTGTTAAAAATCTTGTGTAGTTTGTGCTGTAGCAGGAAGTGTTTGTCAATTAAACTTAAGAATTCCCGTCCTATGTTCGTGTTAACACTCTTACTAAATGGTGGGTTGAACCAAATTATGTTGCGTTGCCTATTCCTACGTGTCCGTTGCGGTGCATTCTCAGTGTACGTAAATTCATGATCAAAGTTACTATGTGTAAGAGCGTTCTGGTAAATAGGTGTGGATTCCTTAAATGTTTGTATATATATATATATATATATATAAATAAAAAAAGTCATCTATGGTATGTTCAAAATGGGCTATTCCATTTAATATCCGTACCCCCCCCCCTGTCGAGGATACATGTTTTTCATTGTCATACCCCTGAAGAATCCCAAGCTCAAAACTGTTTACCCCTGAAGAATTCCAAAATTCCAAGCTCAAAACCTTTTACCCCTGAAGAATTCCAAAATTCCAAGCTCAAAACCCTTTACCCCTGAAGAATTCCAAGCTCAAAACCTTTTACCCCTGAAGATTTCCAAGCTCAAAACCCTTCACCCCTAAATAATTCCAAGCTCAAAACCCTTTACCCCTGAAGAATTTCAAGCTCAAAACCTTTTACCCCTGAAGAATTCCAAGCTCAAAACCCTTCACCCCTGAAGAAATAAGAATTCCAAGCTCTGAAAGATTTCAATCTCACTGAACCTCTTTACCCTGAAGAATTCCAAGCTCAAAATCCTTTACCCCTGAAGAATTCCAAGCTCAAAACCATTTACCCAGGCCAGAAGAATTCCAAACTCAAAACACTTTACCACTGAAGCATTCCAAGTTCAAAACACTTTACCCCTGAATAATTCCAAGCTCAAAACCCTTTACCCCTGAAGAATTCCAGGGATCCTCGACAGGGGGGGGG